TGTACCTGGGCTGCTGTTCCAGAACGTCCAAACCCTAAACCCTAAATCCTAAACCCTAAACCCTAAATCCTAAACTTTAAACCCTAAACCCGAATCTGCTGCACTTCTCCAAATTGAACCTAACTGCAGCCCAGCCCAGGCACAGCACCCGGCCCTCCTGAACTACTCCAATGAAGGACTGGGCGATGGCGTCCGTCACCTTAGTTGTCCAGTAACCCGGGGAACTAAGGTTTAGGGTTTAGGGTGTAGCGTTTAGGGTTTAGGGTTTAGGGTGTAGGGTTTAGGGTTTAGGGTTTAGGGTTTAGGGTTTAGGGTTTAGGGTTTAGGGTTTAGGGTTTAGGGTTTAGGGTTTAGGGTTTAGGGTTTAGGGTTTAGGGTTTAGGGTTTAGGGTTAACCTTTGGGAACTTAGAGGGATGATACTACCCCAAAAAGGTTAAAGGGTTGTCTACTCTACTACCAAGTCACCATTTCGCAGACTCTGAAGAAGGACTCCCAGGGCATCTGGTGATCCCACCACCTGGGCTACAAAGCCTAACCAATGGCTTAAGAACCCCCAAAGAAAACTGAAAAGACTCTTCCCTGTAAGGTTAGTGTGGGGATTATTCTCTGTTTGTTTGGGGAGTTCTTAGGCAAATGGTGGCCTAAGGGTTTAGGCGGTCCGGAAAAATGTTCATACTTGAAGGCTCTGCCGAGAGCGGATGCTTAAACCTTGAAACAAAATCCGCATTCATGCACATGCGCAACACAAAACCTACAGAAATGCGGATTAGGCGCCTGTTCTGTGCCCTAAAACCCAAACCCTAAACCCTTAACCCTAACCCTAAACCTTAAACCTTCTGAAACCCAACTCCCTTGAAAGCCCTAAAAGGCATGAAAAACCCTACTACAAGCCTTGCAACAACCCTAGACCCTGTAAGCCTCAACCCTAAACAGCAAACTCCAAAGCCTGCAAACCCTAAACCCCACAAGCCCGGGACAAGCCCTCAACTTCTTTCTACCCTAGAAAGCCTAAACTTCATCCTACGGCCTAAACCCTACGTATGAACCTACCCTTTTACATTCTCATCTATAAACCCGACATCCCTTACCTAGAAACCCCTATTGCCTGCGTAAAGACCCTAAACACTATGAGCCCCTAAATCTGTCAACCTTCGCTTGCCCGGCCTAACCGCTAAACCCTGAAGCCTAAACCCTGAACCCTAAACCCTAAAACGCTGCACCCTACACCCTACACCCTACAGTCTACACCCTAAACTCTAAACCCTAAACCCTAAACCCTAAACTCAAAACCCTAAACCCTAAACCCTAAGCCCTAAACCCTAAACCCTAAACCTGAATTGCCCGGCCAAAGCCGCGGCTCAAAGCTTTCGGCCAGCCCCGGCTCCTCCTCCACCTCGGCTTTCGCAATGGAAGGTTCTGGAGGTTTAGGGTTTAGGGTTTGGGGTTTAGGGTTTAGGGATTAGGGTTTAGGCTTTAGGCTTTAGGCTTTAGGCTTTAGGCTTTAGGCTTTAGGCTTTAGGCTTTAGGCTTTAGGCTTTAGGGTTTAGGGTTTAGGGTTTAGGGTTTAGGGATTCAGGGTTCTTGCTGGGTTTTAGGGTTGTAGGTTGGGATGGTCCCCCTTATACTAACAGTCCTATTAGGGATTGCAATAGGGGGTACTATAATCCCTATTAAGGACTGTTAGTTTAATGAGGGGCAACATCCCAAGTTGTAGGGGTCTAGGGAGCTTACGGTGCTTGGGGTTCATACGGCTTAGGGTTTAGGATGCTTACACACTTTAGGAGATTCCCAAACCTTCAAACAAACGTAGATTCCCACAGCAGCCTAGTGGTTATCTTGCTCCTTAGTGGTTAGGTCTGCGATCCAAAGTACCCCCCCCCCCCCCGCCAAAACACAAAAACAACAAACTAAAAATCACTTCGAACATCCCCGCCCTCTTTGGGCAGAGATACTCTGGGGTTGGGCACTCCAGGGACACTCTGGGGCTGGGTGCTCCAGAAACACTCAAAGGGGGTTGGGCACTCCAGGGACACTCTGGTAGGGCTCTGAGGTTGGGCGGGCACTCCAGGGACACTCTCGGGTTGGGCACCCTGGGGTTGGGCGAGGCGTAGACCGGGCGAGGAAAAATAGACTGGGCGAGGAGAAGAGTTGAGTTTAAATTCTAACAACCCCACACCGAGGGTGGGAACAAACACGAAGAAGCAACACAAAAAAGTTGCGTCATGGGATTTTTTAACGAGTGCGTGAGGACCAGGAAGCCTAAACCATAAAATCATGAGATCTAGATCCTAGAGGGGAATTCATGCAACTGCGGAAATGACAAGGGAACCTCGACCTAAAACCAAAAACAAAAACTACACCGAACTGTCACCCGAACACCCTATAATTAAACATTATACCCTAAACCCGAAAAAAAAAAAACAACGTAACAAAAAAAACGGAGAAACCCCAAACCCCAAACCCCAAACCCCAAACCCCAAACCCCAAACCCCAAACCCCAAACCCCAAACCCCAAACCCCAAACCCCAAACCCCAAACCCCAAACCCCAAACCCTAAACCCTAAACCCTAAACCCTAAACCCTGTCCGGGCCGCGCAGCCCAAGCGACAGGCGAGGCCGCCTCCACCTAAGAGTCGAGGCAGTCGCCCCCAGGCGTTTTGGTTAGGGTTTAGGGTTTAGGGTTTAGGGTTTCGGGTTTCGGGTTTCGGGTTGAGGGTTTGGGCTTTTAGGGTGTGGGGCTCAAGTTTGTGTAAAGAGGGTTTAGGGTATTTAGGAATTACATATATATATATATATCTATATATCTATATATCTATATATCTATATATCTATATATCTATATATCTATATATCTATATATCTATATATCTATATATCTATATATCTATATATCTTTATATCTATATATCTATATATCTATATATCTATATATCTATATATCTATAGATCTATATATCTATATATATATATATATCTAGTTATGTATGTATGTTCTTTACTTGTTTTATCTCTTTGTTCATATACGTCTCTGTATAAGTCTATTTATTTAATATACATATACTTATGTGTATTTATGCATTTGTGGATTTATTTACTTATCTATGGATTAGGAGGGCTTGCAGGGTTGAATGGGTACTTCGGGTTCGACCCCTTAAGGTGCACAGAAAGGGGTGGTACCCCAAACCCTAAATCCTAAACCCTAAACCCTAAAACCCTAAACCCTAAACCTACCGAGGCACCAGAGCTGCATTCAGCCAGCTCCTCGGAGAGGTTCCTCGGTGGGCCCCGGCTGGCTGCTAAGAGTCACTGTAGGGTTTAGGGTTTAGGGTTTGGGGCTTGGGGTTTGGGGTTTGGGGTTTGGGGTCTGGGGTTTGGGGTTTGGGGTCTGGAGTTTGGGGTTTGGGGTTTGGGGTTTAGGGTTCGGGGTTTGGGGTTTGGGGGTTTGGGGTTTGGGGTTTGGGCGGTTGCCGCAGGGATGGTAACAACTCCCGGATTCATGGGCTTGCCGCGGAACCTCTGAAATGCCGCGGGTCCGACAAGAGTACATGCTACATGGATCACGCCATTGCTTCAGCAGGTTCGCAGTGTGAGTGCTCGGACGGAAGCAGCAAGCCGGAAAGGCGACTTTTTCTTTTCCGACATTAGGGTTTAGGGTTTAGGGTTTAGGGTTTAGGGTTTAGGGTTTAGGGTTTAGGGTTTAGGGTTTAGGGTTTAGGGTTTAGGGTTTAGGGTGATGGCTGCACGTTGACCGGAAACTGGGGCTTGAGAGCCGCTCCCTGAATGATGCGTGGGCGAGCACAGATTTGACTCCAGAATTCGCACATTCAGAGAGTGGATGGCACGCGTCACCTGCTGCTACGCGTCACGGGGTGGCATGCAGGTCTTCGTGAACTCCGCGACCACCGGCAAAAGATCATCATCGCCTTGGTCACGGAGGGGCCTCCTGAATCCTAAATCCTAAACCCTAAACCCTATAAACCCTAAACCGGATTACGGCCCGGAGCCCAGCCAAGGAGAAACATCCACCCGAACCAGCGATTGTTGATCCTCTTCCCAGACTGCCGGACGACAGCCTCCAGCAAGACGGCATGCTTCATTCGGGGGTTTGGGGGTTTGGGAGTTTGGGGTGTAGGGTTTTAAAGTTGTACGCAAAGGGCCTGCAGCAATGACTGCGCCAAGTGCGCCCGGCCCAAGTGCATTGATCCAGGTGGTGTGCTTTGGGCAATACCCCGAACTGAGAAACGGGCGCCGAGCTGAACATGGATCGATGACGGCATCCTGTGCCTTGCCTACACTTCACTTAGTGCAGGGACTGTGGCACATTACATGATGTCAAAGCATGGGGGTGTATACAGCGCAGCGTTGGCCTGAGAAGGTTGACTGCACCGTAATTCCTAGGCTGGTGTAGTCGGTGGCGTCCCTGCGCGGATCCTATTTCGAAACTTGCGGCATCGCCTGCCCCTGGCGAGACGTGGCGAAGGACACGCGGCTATTTCATACTACATCTCGTCGACATGAAGGTTCTTTTGTCTTCCTTCTTCCTCGTCCGTTGGGCTTGGATCCGGGGGGGGGGGGGGGGGTTGCCATGAAGTGCGGATCCGCCAACCCTCCGGTGCACTTGCTGCTATCACGAGAAGGAGTTGATGGGCGAGTTTTGGACCACGGACCTGACCTTCCAAAACCTAAATAGACGTGATCCCAAAGACCGACCGAGGCTCTGGTAAGACGACAGCAGCGCAGCGGCCAGCCCAGGCCTCAGTCAAGGCCACGATATCAAGGGACTCTACCCTGGACCCCTACCAGGGTTTAGGTTTGGGTTTCGGGTTTCGGGTTTCGGGTTTCGGGTTTCGGGTTTCGGGTTTAGGGTTTAGGGTTTAGGGTTTAGGGTTTAGGGTTTAGGGTTTAGGGTTTAGGGTTTAGGGTTTAGGGTTTAGGGTTTAGGGTTTAGGGTTTAGATCAGGCCCTATAAATCCCCATAATCAACCCTATAACGGGCCTTTTTCAGGGGACTGTAGGGTATAAGAGCCCATGCTGGTTAGGTGGTGCCCGTGGGTTTGGGCACACTTCTTGAAGATCCCCTAAGGAAATCTAAGGGCCGTATTGGAATATGTTAAGGGCAACCTTTCGGGCAGGGGTACAACCTCGCGGGTACGAGTCTTAACGAGTCTCAACCCCTGGACAACAGGGATCTGTCGCAGACAAGATGGTCTCTCTTGGGGCTTTAAGGGCTTCAAGGGTCTAACGTTTTGAGGGTCTTTGGCGGTTTTACGAGTTTTAAGCCCTTTACGGGTTCTAAGGGCTTTAGGGGTCTCCCCAAGCCCTAGACCCTGGATCCATAGCAGCAACCCAGCTGCCCCAAGAGCGCCACGCGGAGGCAGGCGGCCATGTGGCCCGATGCCAGGAGGCTGACCGCGGACCATGGAGCTCGGAACACGCTTCTGTCGGGGTTCGGGCTTCGTCAGACTCAGGTGTTTATAGGGTTTAGGGTTTCGGGATTTAGGGGTGTAGGGGTTTAGGGCTCAGGGGTTTAGGGGTTCAGGAGTTTAAGGGTTTAGGGTTTGTAGGGTTCAGGGTCAGGGTGCTGAGGGTTTAAGGGCTTTAGAACTGGTTTAGGGCTTGTTTCGGCGGTGTCTAAGGTTGATAGGCTCTGTGGTCTTATGTATTTGCTCTGGGCAGTCCGCTAAATCCTACAAATCCTATGACTCAGAATATAAACCGAATACGCTGAAGCTGGGAATGACTCGAGCAGATGGCAGCAGTAGAGGGCCTCTTGCATGCAACGGCTCCAGGCTTAGGATTCAAGGCTTATCGAAGCTTCTTACGGGGCCTATAGGCAAACATAGGGTTTGTAAGGAAGGGTTCCTAGGCCTTGCAGGGTTTATAGGGCTTACAGTTCTGGGCATTCCTAAAATACGGGTACACTTGTATACCCCGAATAGAGTAGAATCCCCTTACAGGGACCCCCCAAAAGGGGCACCCCGATTTCTGGAAATCCCCTTATGGGCTGGGTGGGAGGTCGGAGGGTTCAGGGGGACCGGTCTCTGAGAGCTGTCACATAACATAGGGGCCTTAATAATTAGAATACGGTTTAGGGCTATTCTAGTATAGTAATATAGGGACCACAAGGGAATATTCTTAGTAATTATTCCGACTATCATGTGGGGGTCTACGACAATAAGGGACCCCTAAATAGACGGGCAAATTGTAGGATTCCCTTTCAAACAAGGGATCCAATAAGGTGCCCCCTAATTTCGGAACCCTAAACCCTAAACCCTAAACCCTAAACCCTGAACCCTAAACCCTAAACCCTAAACCCTAAACCCTAAACCCTAAACCCTAAACCCTAAACCCTAAACCCTAAACCCTAAACCCTAAACCCTAAACCCTAAACCCTAAACCCTAAACCCAAACCCAAAACCCTAAACCACTATTTTCGGACACCACCATATAACCTCCACCAAAAGCAGGCCGCCTCAAAGCCACGGCGCCGTCGACCAGCGGTCCAGCTGTCTCATCCTGAGTGGGGCTTAGGGTTAGGGTTTGAAGGGCTGATAGGGTTTAGGGTTGGGTGTTTAGGGTTTAGGGTTTAGGGTTTAGGGTTTAGGGTTTAGGGTTTAGGGTTTAGGGTTTAGGGTTTAGGGTTTAGGGTTTAGGGTTTAGGGTTTAGGGTTTAGGGTTTTGGGTTTTTAGGGTTTAGGGTTCCTTCAAACTCTGACTGATGGTCACTTCCCTAAAATATGGTCCCATTTGCGGTCCTCAGTCGAAGGCGGCCCCTCTTAGTTAGAGGTACCCCAGAAAAGGGACCATCACTTTGAGAGCTGACCATATGAAGCCTACAGCCGAACTCCTGTTTTGGGGAAATGCCCATATTTCACCAGGATTTAGGGTTTAGGGTTTGGGGTTTGGGGTTTAGGGTTTGCGGAGCTAACGACTTCAACTTGGCCCTGGCCTGGTCAATCGGACGAATCAGCGATAAGGCGCCGTCGATGTCAATGTGAACATATCCTGAAGAGGCCGGGAAGGGCGTGGATTTAGGGTCTAGGGTTTTCACAAGGGTTTAGGGGTTTAGGGGTTTAGGGGTTTAGGGGTTAGGGGTTTAGGGGTTTAGGGGTTTAGGGGTTTAGGGGTTTAGGGGTTTAGGGGTTTAGGGGTTTAGGAGTTTAGGGGTTTAGGGGTTTAGGGGTTTAGGGGTTTAGGGGTTTAGGGGTTTAGGGGTTTAGGGGTTTAGGGGTTTGGGGTTTTGGGGTTTTTTGGGGTTTGGGGTTTTGGGTTTTGGGGGTTTGGGGTTTGGGGGTCTGGGGTCTAGGGGTTTAGGGGTTGAGGGTTTCGGGTTGAGGAAAGGGTTTAGGGCTCTTGGATTTTGGGGTTAGAACGTCTAGGGCAATCACAGGGTTTAGGGCTTAGGGCTAAGGGGGGAACTGGGTCCACAAGGGAGAAACACAAACAGACGTGAGAAAACGCAGCGGCCAGGCCAAGTCTAGAGAAAATTGCAGCTTTCT